TAGTTCTACATCCTCAGCATTTCAGCACTAAATTACTAATCCAGGATTACGACAGCAAGCTCTGCCACCCAGGACCCGATAGGGTTTTTGCAGAAATGAGGAGAAACTTTTGGGTATTGAGAGGACGTGAAGCCATACGCAAGCAGCAGCAATGTAAAGAGTGTCAAAAGTGGAAGAGCAAGCCAGTTGTTCCCAAAATGGCAGACCTACCTCAAGCCCGCTTGAGACTACATAAACCACCATTCTACAGTACTGGCATGGACTGTTTCGGACCATTTCAAATTAAAATCGGCAGACGCTGTGAGAAGAGGTGGGGAGTAATCTTTAAGTGCCTAACAACGAGAAGTATACATCTGGATCTTCTCACTTCTATGGATACAGATTCATTCCTGATGGCCTTAAGGAGGTTTGTAGCCCGGCGTGGCACACCATGAGTTAATCTCTGACCAGGGCACCAATTTCCGTGGAGGAGAAAGAGAGCTGCAAGAAGCATTTTCTTCCCTCAGCCCTCAACTACAACAACAGCTGGCCAAAAAGAAAATATCCTTCCACTTCAACCCACCAAATGCTCCACACTTTGGCGGAACCTGGGAAAGAGAGATTCGGTCTGTGAAAAATGCCCTACGCACCACCCTTGGCTCACAGGTTGTGACTGAAGAAGTGCTCCTGACAGTCCTAATTGAAGTTGAAGGCATTTTAAACAGTAAGCCACTAGGTTACACCTCAAGTAACATAGCTGACGTTGATCCTGTTACGCCTAACTACCTGCTCATGGGGCGGCCAGATAGTTCTTTACCACCAGTGGTCTATCCAGCTACTGAACTCATGGGGCGGCGGAGATGGAAGCAAAGCCAGGTATTGGCTGACCAGTTCTGGTCGAGTTTCATCCGTCACTACTTACCTTCACTACAGTCTCGTGGAAAGTGGCATTCCGAGGTTAAAAACATTTCCGCTGGAGATGTAGTTATGGTTGTAGACCCACAGGTCCCACGTGCTTTGTGGTTATTGGGCAAGGTTATAAAAACCTTCCCTGGTTCAGATGGATGTATTAGAGCAGCTGAGATCCAAATGAATGATAAGATCTACATGCGACCTGTTGCTCGTTTGATTCCCCTTCCTGCTTTCTCAGATGAAGATGTGTCCAGGACTTATCTCCTACAAATTGACTAAGCCTATAAAGAACAAATATGCTCCGCATATTTGGGGGCGGCAGTGTTAAGAAGACACAGCCAATGAACGTGCTCTACAGTCAACAAGCGCAATCTCCAGCCAATAAGCGCACTCTCCACTGTGTGTCATCAGTCAGTGTGCATCCGTTGAAGAGATAATAGTTTCCTGAGGCTGACACAACGGTAAAACTTCTCCATAAAGTGGACATTCCTTTAGTGAGTCATTGAAAATAAGTAAGTGCGATTCTCTGTTCTTTATTGGTTGACTTTGTGTTAGTCAAGTGATGACTTGTTGGTTTATCATCGTCAGATTCACTTGCACGAGCAGTATAGTGATTCTCGTGTTCATCTTCTGTATTGCTGCTTAATGTTAATTCTTCCTTTAGTATTTAATGGATGTTTGTAGATAATACATTTATAGTATTTAGTATTGTACATTTGGATTATTGATTTCTTGCCAGTCGTCAGATTTACCGTGCCATTTGATAACGCAGCAACTATATAATGACCTTTCACTTACTTTATTCTGTGCGTTTCATGCGCCACTTTGTGGCACTACATGGTATTGCAATAATATTTGTTTAGTATATGTTATACTTTAAGGATATTATTTTATCTTGCAAATTGTTGAAAGTTATTGTGATTATTGTCTATTCATTGTTCTTTTTGTCATTCACAGACCACATTTCTACGTAAATGTCCACTAAATGAGACTGTTGAACAATAAATTCCCTGTGGTCTGACTGTGCTGTCATGTTTAAATAATTTCATTCAATCCTTGAACTGAATCCTGACTCAGATGTCTTGACCGACATACCAGTGCGAACACGCACCCACCTGAACTAGTGCACACAATAGAATAAATCCCTCAGATTTTACAACTAACCAGATAGCGCTCTGAATCACCGTGAGGTTCAGAGTTCCTCTGGCTACGTGGGACATGCGGAGCCACAGACCATTTCACGAGAGCAGCCCATGAGAGCGAGACTATCGTTTGCCGAGCCAAAAACGGACAGCTTTGGGACTTACAGGTATTATTTATTTTATTGTTTGCTCTTTTAGAGTGAAGGGGCCAATTTTGAGTTTGCTTTAAAGGCCACAACGCACCCAAGCAACGCTACAGGCCTGAAAAAAAGCCTTTTTAAAATTAAATATGAATGCAGTTTTAGATTAAATAAAAGTACAGTCAAGTCAAATAAAACATGTTTTATCTCCTGTATAGTTTGGTAACGCTACAATAAGATAGCTACCATTCATCAACATTAAGTTAGTTCACATCAACACATTGAGTGAACAATATATTTTTACAACATTAATTAATGTTTGTAAATGTTATTTAATACAAACACTTGATTGTTCATGTTTGTTCACTTCATTCATTGTGCATTAAATAAATGTTAACGGATTAAAACTTTACAAACAACTTTAAAAATGTGTTAGTGTATACTATTGTTAATTTTAGGCCATTTTATCTTATCTTTTTCTAAAGTGTTTATAATACAAATGTACAGTTCCCATACTTGTAACCGTGATAAACACTTAAATATATGTAAATTTAAACTAAGCTTTGGTACCGAAATTGGTACCGAGAACCGTGAATTTTTACTGGTATTGGTACCGAATACAAAAATTTTGGTACCGTGACAACACTAGTGTCAGCCATCTTTTTTTGGAAGCTAAGCTAGCATGCTCTTGTTCTATGGAGAAAGCTGTGTAGTAGGGGTTACCATCCTCTTTGTCCTGGACATGTCCGGCCGTCGAAATCGTACAAAATGTCCGGGATGCGATCAGCTTTTGCTTTCTGCAGTCATCATTCATTGTTTACATGCACACCTTTTGTTTCAATCTAACTGAATTAATTCCGATTGGTGAATCTGAATGTAGTGTTTACACAAACGCTAAACAAGTGATCGGTTGATGTGTGTTTTAACATTGCTAAGAAAATTTCCGCTCCTCCATGAGAGATACAAGACCGGTGCATCTCACAGGTGTCGCTCATTAGTAATCACGTCAGCGGCCTCCCGCCGTTCTCCCATGGCCCTCGGTCTTGGACCCATCACATTCAAGCACAAGTAAAGACTGCCAGAAAAAGGCTATACTATCTGCAGCTGCTGAGGAGATTTGGGGTTTCCCCTGTCATTTTAAAAACATTTTATACAGGGGCAATAGAAAGTACATTGACTTATGGCATCTCATAATGGTTTGGAAACTGTTCAGCGCAGGATTGTAAAGCCTTAAAGAGAGTGGTGCGTGCAGGAGAGCGAATAACTAGGAATGCTCTTCCATCAATGCAGGATATTTACATCCGGCGGAACAGAGTCAGGGCTGTGAAGGTATACAAGGACGCCACTCACCCTGGAAATTTATTGATTAAATTTCTGCAATCAGGTAGACGCTTTCGTAGTCTGATGGCTAAAACGGAGAGGCTCAGGAGGAGCTTCTTTCCACAGGCCATCAGACTACTGAACTTGGACATAAAAAACATTACATTTTAAGGACTATGGCGACAAGATGGTTAATACATGGCACTGCACTTTTGCACTTTAAAAAACTACTTATCTTAATACTATTTTAATTTTTTTTTATATATATATATTTAGGTACAGTTTTATTACACAGTCTATAGGGATACCAGACTTATCTTTCACTGCTTGTTGTATGAACTAGAACTTGTATGTAACAAATAAACTTTGAACTTTTAGTCTCGTCCTGCTCGCCACAATAAACAATGAATGGCGACTGTAGAACACAAAAGCTGAATCCCGGACATTTTGGGCAGACCTGGGCAGACTCATCACAGAGACTCATTAGTAGCCTAGACTTGTTGTTTAACTACTGTGCTCTGTGCTCAGCAAAGCAATGGGGTCTATGCACGGCGTTATTTCCGGTGAAGGATTAAGGATGCTCGATAACTTCCACCGATCATAGAGTCCAATGCAATACCGAGAATTTATATTGAATTTTATACTCCATGGTTATACTAATGCAACGTTAGTCACAAAAACAGATAAAACAGACACCCCTCGTTGTGTTTATGCTTCTTTTTAAAATTATATTAAATAAACATAACTATATATAAAATTACATCTAAACGTATGTACGTTTCGTTTCAAAGACGGGAGGACAGTAAATATTGAAGACTCTGCCATAATCCCGTTTTCTCCGGTTTTCCTCCACTTTAATCTTCACAACCGGAAATGGACGAGCATCCTTACGTCAAATGCGGAACTTATGCGTGCATATAGCCCATTCTGCATTCTGGGAGTTGTCTTTCATCCACATAAGCCAAAAATAAATTTTCTGGCTTTTCTCAGTTTAGAAAGCTCCAAATTCAAAAATAATTTCACATTTCTTCTACATAAATGACCCATTTTAAATACACATTCATCTTTCCCGAGGTGAAGTATCCCTTTAAGAAAATTTGTTTTAACAGAGGGGTGACCAATCCTGGTCCTGGAGGGCCAACATCCTGCAAAATTTAACAACAATTTGTCTTAATAACATGCCTGCTTGGAAGTGTAGGGGTGGTCAATTGAAATTGATGGAGCACAAATCAATCAGATACCCCTTTAGCCCCCTCATGGTGCAGAGCCTGGTTATGACCAAAGCTTGCTATTGAAGTACATTAGACGGTTAAGATGCCTCAGAAGCTGTTCAACAAGTCAGCTGCCTAAGCTTTAGGGCACAGCCCATGTCGTAAAGACCTCTATCTTGGTTCAGGTTTGTGTAATTAGGGTTGGATCTAAATTCAGCAGGACAGTGGCCCTCCAGGACCAAGATTGGACACCCCCCTGTGTTGATTACTCAGAGGTTGTTTGTAAGAAGCCTCACATCAGATGCTCGGACAAGATCAATGGAACTGTTGTTCCAAGCATCCTCATTGCTCTTGCTGTGCTGTAGCTCTGCCTGGAGGTTCTTAGCTGCCATTTCAACTAACCTGTGAGCATTTTTTAAAAACATTCTTAGTCACTGTAAAAATTCTATGTGAGCAAGTTTTTAATAGCACTGTTATCTATGGCACATTTTACAACCTGCCATAATATACCACAGAATCTATTACAATCTATTATACGTTTTTCTGGAACCCACTTACTTTGAAGCTCTGAATTTGTATGCCTCCACAAGGCTGGCCAGGTCATTAATACTGACAACAGTGGGACGGTAGGACACAGAATGGGGCTGTATTCTGTTCTGAGGTTCGTTCAGGTAAGAAACAATGCCCGTCAACTGCTGTCCTGCCCGTGCTTGTTTGTAGCTCTTCACCAAATACCTAATTAACAAAAGACATGTCAGATAATTAAAGTTGTACAAATAAATTATTCCATTGAGATACATGGTAAATCATCTCATTGAATATTTTGAACAACTTAATAATTTAAAAAAGCTGAAACTGAAAACAAATGATCTATACTTAAACACAACAACACTATACTGTTGTTACTGAGCTTTCCTGTAGCTCAAATAGTAGACAGTTGGCGCTTGCCAGGCCAAGGGCATGGGTTTGATTCCCAGGAAAAGCAAGAACTGATGAGAATAAATGTGTAGCTTGCAATGCAATGTAAGTTGCTTTAGATAAAAGTGTCTACCAAATGCATAAATGTACTGTACATATATTTTATATGCATTATAAAACACCTTTTCAGCCAATTATTACTCAGCAGGATGTCTGTGAAAAATTGCATGACAAAATTTGTGAATATGGATTTTAACGACTCATAGGCTGTGCTGCACCAATTGCACAAATAATGGCGCGGGTGACTCTGACGTGCAACCAATGGAGCCCCACGTCAGAGCCCGCCAAGGGCGTGACCCGGTCTATAAAGGCCCCCGAATTTGCCATTATAGCAGATTTTACTCCTTCAGCAACAGTCTTCACGTCCCTGAACTTCTTACTGAGATCACCGTCGAATCAAGCCTTTCAGGTGAGCTGCCCCTCTCTCAGACTCGATTTTGCCTTATATCCTTTCAAGCTAACTTATCTTTTACAGATGCCTCGTTTCTGCTCCATGTGCGGAGGCTCGCTGCACAAGGCGGACCAACACGCGAGCTCCATTGTCTGTCTGGGAATTGGGAATCAGCCACACGGAGAATGCTCTCGCTGACTAGGTTGATGTCAACTTTTTCATTGTTGTCATGACAGCGCAGCTTCTCATTCCGTGAACCTCTGGAGTTGTGAGTTTAGACTTTTTTTTCGACTTTTTTAAAACTGTTCCTGTGGTGTTGAGCAACTATAATTCCTGTTAATCCTATAATTTTATACTTTTATTGATTTAAAGTGAATTAATTGTAATAAAAAATAAATAAAATTAAATAGCTAAAGTAAATCGTAAGTGGAAGTGCTGTCAATTCATTGAATGTTCAAAATATTCATCTTTATTTAGAAAACAAATACACATTGGTTGGCCTATTCATGAGAATATATCAGCAATTACACATGTTTAGGGAATAGGGCATTATTAATGCATGTGCTAAGGTATGTGCTTTTTTTTTTTTTAACAATTATTCATGTACAAACAGTAAGGCAATAGTAACAATTCTAGATATGGGTAAACCACTATCAGTGTCACCACCCTTGGACTGTTTGTGTTTTGATTCACCACGTGTTCCCCTCGTCTGAGTTCTCCGCCCTCATCTGTTGCCATGGACACTCATCACCTCCCGCACAGCTGATTGTCATTTGTTAATCACCGTCACTGTGTACTTAAGTTCCTGTCTATCTTCACTCCCTTGTCCGGTATTGTTCGTGTCTACACGCTGTCAACCTGTTCCTGTGCTCCATTCATTAAAGTTATTTGTTTATTATACCTTCCTCCTCGTCTTCCTTGGATTACCCCGTGACAGAATACCGGACCCAAAATTCAAGATGAACCTCGACTTCATCACCCTCGCTGAATTCTCATCAGACTTTGTGTCGTTTTCCAGAGACTTTGTTCCACTTGCACTCTCCAGTCCCCTAGATGACGAAACCCTGAAGACCCTGTTCTGGATCGGGGCCACCTACCACCAGCACGTCGACCTCCCAGACACCTCCAACCTGGACTGGAAGGAGGCCGTTTCCCGGTGTCTGGAGAGCGTCGAAGCCCGATCCAGAACACTGCCAGACCCAGAGCCGGAATCACCACCCTCGACCGCGGAGATCTCGTGCGTGCCCCCCGCAGACGGAGAGCTACCACCCGCCGCGACGCGTCAACCAGTGCCCGAGACAAAGAGGACAGAGTTGACCCTCGCCCCGGAGGAGGAGCTCCAACAGGAGTCTGACCAGGGGTGTGAGCCCACGACATCTGCGGACGAGGGGACTAATTTCCCGGAACTGGAGGACTGGCTGATGAAACCCAGGACACTGGAGATCGTTCCCGCCCTATCCCACCCGTCATCTGCATCTCTTTCATATTTTGAATCATCCTGTGATGACTTCTGCCCTGCTGTCTGTCTGGTTCACGCTGTTCCATCTCCGTTCCCAGTCAGTCCTCCAGCCTCGCCGCTGCTGGATGTGCGCAGCCCTGCACCATCTCCGTGGGGAGTCCCCGACGTCGAGCGGCAGGTCAGCCCACCATCCGCAGCGCCTGTGTTCGAGGATCCCACGGCTTCGCCTCCAGCCTCGGTCCTCGGCACTCCATCTCGGCCAGTCGACCTGCCGGCTCCGTCTTGGCTCCTCCCACCTGCGCCTCCGCCTGAGACCATCGAGACATCGGCTGCAGCGGGTTCCCTCGTCCTGCCGGCTCCCCCTTGGTCAGTCGTCACTCTGCCTGCGCCACGGACTTGCGGTCAGTCTGCTACGCTTGTTCCCTCCACCCCTTCGGCTTCAGCGGGCTCCTCCTTCCCTGTGGCGTCTCCTCTGTCCTCCCTCACTCCACCTCCACCTCAGCTCTCGGGCACTCTGGCTACGGCTCCAGCGCTCGTCGCCGCTACGTCACCGGGGTCTCCTATGCCGATGACGTCGCTGGAGTCCACCGGCTCTCTGTCTGCGCCGAGAGATCCTGCCACCGAGTCTCCGTCGGTCATCCCCCAGCTACCGTCAGTCCCCTCGCCATCTGGTTTCTTCCCTCCGTCATCCCTGCCATCGGCTGTCGGTACTGGGAGGCTCTGGGTCTGTGCCACCGCGCCATCCCCATCAAGGCCGCCAGGGTATCGTCATCGTCCCCTCACCGTCCCGTCACTCCAGCCTCTCGTCTGTGTTACACCTTCGTCTCGTCCTCCACCTGAACCTCCCCCGGTCCCCCCTCCGTCATTTTGCCACGGCGCGAGGTCGCGCCTTGCCGGAGGGGGGCGATCTGTCACCACCCTTGGACTGTTTGTGTTTTGATTCACCACGTGTTCCCCTCGTCTGAGTTCTCCGCCCTCATCTGTTGCCATGGACACTCATCACCTCCCGCACAGCTGATTGTCATTTGTTAATCACCGTCACTGTGTACTTAAGTTCCTGTCTATCTTCACTCCCTTGTCCGGTATTGTTCGTGTCTACACGCTGTCAACCTGTTCCTGTGCTCCATTCATTAAAGTTATTTGTTTATTATACCTTCCTCCTCGTCTTCCTTGGATTACCCCGTGACAATCAGAGTCTGCCCGTGGGGTGGGGGCACCGCCGCGCCAAGCAGTGTCCCACATTGTCCCTCAGAAACATACCCCTTGTCCCCCCTTGGGCTTATTAGCAGGTGGTCACCCTAACCTCGAGTTAGGATGGATATTGGACGGATGGTTCCTGTCGGGGCACCAACAGGCCCCTCGTCACAAACCGGCGCCATTTTTCCCCGAGTTCCACGAGGAGCTAGCCATGGGATCTTTACTTTCAGTGTAAAGATCCTTCGTGGATGGCGCAGCGGAAAAGAGCTAAGAGTTTTTGCCGCCCCTCGAAGAGGCTGTGGCCGTTCATCTCTGCCCGAACACTGCTGCTAGCTGGCAAACTAGGGCCACTCATCCTAATAAGGCCTGCCGTACCACCTCAGCCCTCGCTGGACGCGCTTACTCCACTTCTGGTCAGGCAGCATCGACCCTTCACACGATGGCTGTGCTTCAGGTCTACCAGGCCAAACTCCTTCGTTCCATGGACGAGTCTGGCCTGGACCCTGAGGCCTTTCGGGACCTGAGGAGCGCTACGCTATCGGGAGAAACATGGCTAGCTTGGTCGTGCTCAAACGCCATCTGTGGCTCAACCTCACCGAGATTAAGGACGCCGACAGAACGAGGTTCCTTGACACCCCTGTCTCCAGCTCCGGCCTCTTCGGTCCAGCAGTAAAGGGGTTCTCTGAGAGGTACACAGCGGGCGTGGATGCACCCCATCCACGCTCAAGGTTTATGTGGCAGCCATCACAGCGCATCATGCTCCGGTGGCTGGTCACTATTTGGGCAGAAATGCTCCAGTGATAAGGTTTCTGAAGGCTGCTAAGAGGATTAACCCTTCTAGGCCCCCTTCGGTGCCTCTGTGGGACCTCTCCACGGTCCTTAGGGCCCTCAAGGGTCCACCATTTGAACCTCTCCAGTCGGTTGATCTGAAACTTGTTGAGGCTTTGGCATCTATCAAGCAAGTGAGGGATCTGCAGGCTCTATCCGTGAGCCCTGCATGTTTGCAGTGGGGCAGATGACTCCAAAGTCGTTCTAAAGCCCCAACATGTTTATATACCTAAGGTGCTCTCGACTCAGTTTAGAGCCCAAGTTATTACGTTGTTAGCCCTTCCGGATGATGGGGAGGCTAATCTTCTCTGCCCGGTAAGGGGGCTGAGAATCTATCTGGACCGTTCTGCGTCTTTTAGACAGATGGAACAGTTGTTTGTCTGCTTTGGTGGCTAATCCAAGGGTGATCCAGTCACTAAGCAAAGAGTTTCTAGTTGGATAGTGGACGCCATTTCTTTGGCTTATGCGTAAGTGGGTTAGGTTTGCCCCATTGGTGTTAAGGCCCATTCAACTAGAGGCATGGCCTCGTCGTGGGCTTGGTCATCTGGGTTTCCCATTTAAGATATTTGTGATGCGGCCGGCCGGTCCTCACCTTCCACATTTATGAAGTTCTATAATCTGCATGGTGCACCTTTGTGGAAAATAACAGTTGGTGGTTCAAGTATTATTGGCATCCCATCAAATGTAAAAAGAAAACTACAGTAATTTGAATTAAAGAGACTGATCACAAACTGTCAAAGGTATGAGCCTATATAACATTTTAACACCTTTCTTATTCTTTTTAATGGGTTTTGTGATGTACAAGTGATGACCTTCCATAACACACATTCACACAACAGACAGTCCAACCTTAGTAAAACAGAGATGCCAATCCTATCCTGTTTCTCAGTTAGGGCTGTCAAATTCGAATTTCGAATATTCATAGAATTGAAAATAAAAATCCACATTCTAATGCAAAAACAGTGTATTTGAATTTTAGGTGTGCATCAGGTAGCCTTATCAATTGTGCACAAAATGCGTTAAGAGTTGTTGTTACATTTTAATGTTTTTGTTAGCCTATCCAGTTAAATACACTAGATAGTGCATAAATAGAGAAGCTCAATGCGAAGAAGATCTTGGACTGCGTCCGAAATCTTAGGCAGCTAAGGGCAATTCCACCCAATTCACTCCATTAAGTCACAGACATATATCATAATCTAGCATAATATATTTTACTTATTCATTGCAACTTCAGTTAAATGTAAATAGGTGTTTTACCTAGCTGTCTGCAGCATCATAACTGTATTTTCTCCCTCATAAGTGCAGGTCGGTGTAAAGGTGACATAGATGTCAGGTAAACTGCTGCAGCGGGAGTAACCATGTCCACCACATGACATGCGACACACCTCAATGCCTGCATTCGTCGCCCAGGTGGTAAAAGCTTTTAGACCTGCAGATAGAGCATGCAGCTATAGAAAGAATAAAGAGAGGTAATAAAATAAATGTCAAAAATTAGATAAAACACACTCAAATTGAGCTACAAAACAGACAAGCATGTAAAAAAAGATAAAAACATGTATACAACTTTTTTTATAACATTTTTCTGCATACTTCTGGCAGCTCACTGAAGTCACCCTGATTAATATCTCCTGAGATGCGATGGTATGTTTTACTCATGTATTGCCCCACAAAATGGAAGGCATAGGCAGTGGCCAGCAGAGGAAATAGTTTATACTGCTGGGTCTGATAGTCCAAGATCTGTGGCTCTGGTTCTCTTAAAGAAAAAAAATGAAAAGTTAATTTAAAATCACCTTCAAATATTTATTTATTTCTGTAATATTTGTTTGAGCAAAAGTCTAAAAGGAAAACCCAAGAGAGTGAGAGTGAGAGTGAGAGTGAGAGAGAGAGAGAGAGAGAGAGAGAGAGAGAGAGAGAGAGAGAGAGAGAGAGAGAGAGAGAGAGAGAGAGACCCACCCTGGGCGTAATTCAGACTGGTGTCGTACTGCACTGTAACGAATGGCAATGGTGCAGGACTTGGAGAGCGCTCGCGCTGACTCCCCCACTATCATAGAGCGAATAAACACCATAGTGCCATATGTGAGCTTATCACTAGGAGGCTTCACATATGTACCGTCTGGCTCAACCTATAGAAGAACACACCAAGTAAAGCAATTACATTTGAGAATACTCCAGTGGAAACAGAGTTTTCTTCATCATTTATTTATTTAGTTAAAGTGATACTCCACCATTAAAATTCTGTCATCATTTACTCACCCTCAAATTGTTGCAACCTGTATGAGTTTCTTCTTCTGCTGAACACAAAGGAAGATATTTTGAAGAACGATTGGAACCAAACGGTTGTTTGGCACCATTGACTTCCATAATAGAAAAAAATACTATGGAAGTCAATGGAGCCAAAGTTCCAATCGTTCAAAATATCTTCCTTTGTGTTCAGCAGAAGAAAAAAACTCATACAGGTTTGCAACAACTTGAGGGTCAGTAAATGATGACAAAAATTTTTAACACAACTGGCCAGCCTTGTGGAGGCATACAAATTCAGGGCTTCAAAGTAAGTGGGTTCCAGAAAAACGTATAATAGATTGTAATAGATTTTGTGGTATATTATGGCAGGCTGTAAAATGTGCCATAGATAAACACAACTGTTGTAACCTTTTTATCTTTCTGTGTGTGCAGGATATGCTCACCTTGGCATACTTCATCAGCATATTCTCACGTGGAATCCTGACATTTTCCAGTTTCAAGTAGCCATTATCAACCTCATCAAAGCCAAATTTGGGGCCAATATCACCGACCACCACACCTGTTCAATCACAACAAAAATGAAAACAATGGCTCAATTATTGAAGACTACATTCTGTGTACAAATCATATTGCTAGACAAAGGTCTAAGCATCTAAATATCAAGCTGTCAAGTTTTAAATAACAATTCATTTTGGACAGAATTACTTAAATAATAATATCTAAAAACAAAGTCTAATACAAGAAGATACTGCAGAAATACTAACAATTTAACAAAGAGTTTCAATCAGTTTTTCTTTAACTGCCGGGTTTTTTTTTAAAGTCTCGTTTGCATTTTTGTCAGTTACTATCACGTTTGTCATGTGGTATTGTCAAGTTTATATTTAGGCATTTGAGTAGAAAGAGCTATGGGTGTGATTTTTCTTTTCAGTTCACCAAATTAAGCAAATTTAATGGAGTGTTGGGTCCTTAGAGGGTTTTTTTTTATATATATACATTTGTAGAATTAGCAACTTTTGCCACCTGCAAATCCAACAAATCATCATGTATAAGTTATTGGACTGTTCTTTTATTAGTTGTTGCCGTAACAGTGTAACTTGGCTTCAAAATCCAATCATTTGAAACAATATTTTTAAAACTGCTTTATTGAATAGGCTCTGTATAGGATGAATCAATAGGTTTTTGCTCCAATTGCACAGCGCAACAATTAACCAGAAAAACATTTGCATTTCATTGGTGTACGTATTGGTGTACAATTCAAATTTTTGGAAGGCAAGTGGTTGTAATATCTAATGCAAAGTGGCAAATAATTGTGATAAAATAAAGCAATCATTCCATAATCTGGTGACTGTGTAACTACAACTTCAGTCCTTCTAAACTAGGGGTGCCAAACTCATGGCGGTCCACATTCCTGCAGAGTTTAGTTCCCTGCTCCAACAAACAAACTACATGTAGTTTTCAAGTAATCCTAAAGAACTTGATTAGCTGGATAAGGTGAGTTTCATAAACTCTGCAGGACTGTGGCTCTCGCGGAACTGAGCTTGTCACCCCTGATCTAAACAGTCTTAAAGTCATATAATACCATACCAAAAAAAAAACAAAAAAAAACCAACCAAAACCTCACACATGCTTTATTCTGAATCTCTCTATATACCATCACAACTTTTAGGGATATACACCAACCCAAGATTCTGTACCTGGCAGTGGCATGTGTGTCTTCATACTGCGAATGGGTGTGATGAAGGCATGTAGGCCATGACACTTTCCCTGTGTGTACAGCTGAGCCAGGACTATAGCATGATTTGAGGTTTTACCCACTAGAAAGACAGAGTGTAAATTGTAAATTAATAATTAAAAAACACATAAATATTATGTAATCAGTTGTACACAGTACCATTTTATATTTGACATAAGATTCTTTGATTTGAGCAGGGCTTACTCACATCCACCAGGCCACCATTTAATAGAGGAGATTGTTGGACTGTTCAAAACAAACTCTTGGGTGGAAGGGTCGTAAGTAGCAGTGGTTTCAAGAGCACGAATATGTGTACCTAGAAAGATATTATACATGTGACATAGCACAGAGAACTGTAACTACATATTAAAGATTTACAAGTAAATAAAGGTTAAATTCCTGCATATTTCATGCAGTTTCAATGTCAAGTATTGCCTATTAATTAAACAAAGCTCTAATCCCCTTTGTGGTTCAGTATGTAACAGTATTCATAATCTTTAAGTTTAAAAATCCTAATAGCATTGTTAAGGGTAACCCTTGTAGGTGTTTGACAGCAAAGAAAATAGATACTCTTTACTCACTAATACTCAATTTTTTTGAAAACCTATTTTTTTCAGATTTATAAAAAAAAAGTTTACTTTGAAAAAAGCATATCAGAAATAATAAATTACATAGTCAATTGGCTATCTTTATCAGACAAAAGCTAAACACACCTGTGGCATGATTCTAAAATGGATATCAAAAGTTGTTATGAAAATTCTTCCCAACACTGTTGCAAAAGTTTCCACAAATACACTTGTAGGTTGCTTTGTTTACACCTTTGTGCCTAGTTCATCCCAAATCAGTTAGATGGAATTCTTATATTAGGAGAATGTAATGTGCTGGCCATTGCTTTTGCTTCTGGGTGCCACTGACTCTCCAACAAAAGAACCTTAGACCATTAAGCTTCCAGCTCCATGTTTAGAAGTTAGTGTCGACAGTATCCAACAGCAGTGCCGCAGGGCCATATGGACCACCGAGGCAGCTGTATCAAGATGGAAGTTAATGCAAAGTGTTTAGCCTCAGTGAGGTTAGGGTTAGTGGTGGAGTAGGCAATTTGTCAGCTCTAACCAAACTTCTAGTCTGAGACTGCTGGCCTGGCACTGCTGTTTAGAAACTGCTGTTATGTACAGTGAGGAAAATACGTATTTGAACACCCTGCTATTTTGCAAGTTCCCACTTAGAAATCATGGAGGGTTCTGAAATTGTCATTGTAGGTGCATGTCCACTGTGAGAGACATAATCTAAGAAAAAAAAAAATCCAGAAATCACAATGTATAATTTTTAACTATTTATTTGTATTATACAGCTGCAAATAAGTATTTGAACACCTAAGAAATCCAATGTCAATATTTGGTACAGTAGCCTTTGTTTTCAATTACAGAGGTCAAATGTTTCCTGTAGTTTTTCACCAGGTTTGCACACACTGCAGGAGGAATTTTGGCCCACTCCTCCACACAGATCTTCTCTAGATCAGTCAGGTTTCTGGGCTGTCACTGAGAAACACGAAGTTTGAGCTCCCTCTAAAGATTCTCTATTGGATTTAGGTCTGGAGACTGGCTAGGCCACGCCAGAACCTTGATATGCTTCTTACAGAGCCACTCCTTGGTTATCCTGGCTGTGTGCTTCAGGTCATTGTCATGTTGGAAGACCCAGCCTCGACCCATCTTCAATGCTCTGAGGGAAGGATGTTGTTCCCCAAAATCTCGCAATACATGGACCCGGTCATCCTCTTCTTAATACAGTGCAGTCGCCTGTAGGGATGGTGTTCTTGGGATGGTACTCATCATTCTTCTTCCTCCAAACACGGTTAGTGGAATTACGACCAAAAAGTTCTATTTTGGTCTCATCTGACCACATGACTTTCTCCCATGACTCCTTTGGATCATCCAAATCGTCATTAGCATTGATCATCCAAATCGTCATTGGCTTAAGACGGGCCCTGACATGTGCTGGTTTAAGCAGGGGAACCTTCCGTGCCATGCATGATTTCAAACCATGACGTCTTATTGTATTACCAACAGTAACCTTGGAAAGGGTGGTCCCAGCTCTTTTCAGGTCATTGACCAGCTCCTCCCGTGTAGTTCTGGGCTGATTTCTCACCTTTCTTAGGATCATTAAGACCCCACGAGGTTAGCTCTTGCATGGAGTGCCCAATACAATTTTGTCTCCAGTGTCTTTGGACAGCTCTTTAGTCTTGGCCATGTTAGTAGTTGGATTCTTACTGATTGTATGGGGTGGACAGGTGTCTTTATACAGCTAACAACCTCAAACAGGTGCATCTAATTTAAGATAGTAAATGGAGTGGAAGTGGACATTTTAGAGGCAGACTAACAGGTCTTTGAGGGTCAGAATTCTAGCTGATAGAGAGCTGTTCAAATACTTATTTGCAGCTGTATCATACAAATAAATAGTTAAAAAAAATCATACATTGTGATTTCTGGGATTTCTTTTTTGTTTTGTTTTTTGATTATGTCTCTCACAGTGGACATGCACCTACGATGACAATTTCAGACCCCTCCATGATTTCTAAGTGGGAGAACTTTCAAAATAGCAGGGTGTTCAAATACTTATTTTCCTCACTGTATGGCTCTGCAGGTGGATATGTATTATCGATGTTTTACAATTAGGAACCGTTCTTTAGCTCAGTCTGTCTTTCTTTGATATTTACCCTTTTCTTGCCATTATGATAGCTATACAATACTGTCCACATAATGCAGTAACAGACAGGATGCAGTAACAACATTTCTACAAAATCTGGAAAACTGTATAAGATGACATTAGTGACCCAACAGAGTCCAGTGACTCAGTATAGTAATGTGCGTGCAGGTAGGTTGCCAGATTTGTTACCGTGCCCCATCTCAGTCTGCGCGTAGGTGCCAATAATCTCCAGGTTCCATGCTGGCATGAAGAAAGCTTCCAGTTGTTCAGGTGAGGATTGGTTCAACAGCGTCGGCAGGAACATGCCCAAGTGCAGATCAAGAGGCTCTGGACGCCCTCGGTGCACACAGCTTTGATAGGGCAAGGGTCAAAGTGAGCGGTGTATTTAAAGAAATTAAAAGTGCAAGAAAGAAATACAAAGGAAAGTATAAAGGTGGAATATTTATGGAGATAGTAGCCATAAAAATCAAACAAGGGGGTGTTAAGAATGAAAAGGAGAAATGTCAGAAGAATAGAGTAAGAATGTGGGTTTGTATGAATGTAGACGAATAGGGATGGGATTAAAGATGATGGACAGAAAATGACAAAAAAGGAGAAAAATCATTTTTAAGCAGGTCATGCAGATGCTGATTAAACATCAGATGTAATAATGATTAATGATTACACTATTGCAAATCAATAACAACAATAATATTTTACTGCTGTAAAAATAACTGCACAAACTGTATTCCTTAAAACAGAAGCTCTTCAGTGGTAATAATTACAATTTCAAAGAATGCATAAAAACATGCATAAGGTATAACAAGTTTAGTCAAATAGTTTTTTTTTTAAAGCAGTGGCACATTAAAAAAATGTATTTAGGCTGCATCCTTGTTTAGCTAGCAAAAGGCAAAACAGCATTTATGTTGCAGTCAAACTAAGGGGCCATTCATACAGATTCTCTCGTGTTCAAAAACAGATAGAGCTGGATGTTGATATAGCTTTTCTACAATACCCGACAACACAATTGCGTCTTAAAAACATAACACTTATGGTATGAATAGATGAGAATAAGAAGAAAAAAAAAAACACCTACAAAAGTGTCCATTTAATGCATGTGTATATAGAACATCAACTTAACCTCAGTCAGCTATTTCTATGTAAGAATCAGACAAAAATCAATATAGCACCAATCTACTTAACTAATTTTGTAGTACAAAATATTCTAAATAATGCATTTCATTTACACATATAACAGTACAAAACAGGATCAACTACTGTATAACAGGCACGTGACAGAATTCAAACTAAAAAGCTGGACCAGACTTGGCCATCAAAATAAACATTACAGGCAGTGGTTGACGTGCAATCCTTTTCCCCTAATACTTGTATGCTAATAATGTCAGGATGAAATTTGTTTTTGAAAAGTGGACTAATATATACAGGTCAGGATGGGAAATGTTTTAATGAAAGGTAAACACTAGGTTTAATCAGGTATTGAGTGACTATAGCCAGCTAACAATTCATTATACTCTAGGAAACCGAATATGACCATACTGAGCTGTCAACACCTGCAAGGGTCTGCTTAACTGTACTGTTATCTCTAAACCCCAAAAGGACAACACTTTCATTTTGGTCTAAATAAAGAAAGTACATTTGCCTTAATTGTCTGGAAGAGAGAGAGACTGACCGTGCCCGAGCTCTGTCTGAGCATAGGTGCCTAACATATGGAATGACTCGGCTAATGGGATCCATTTTTTGCGCTGTTCAGTAGTGCACTGGCTGTTTAAGGTGGGCATGAACATGACATAATGGACACCAAAGGGCTCGTGATACACACCCTTCGCAACACTGCAGGATGGAAGAGACATGTATAAAACTTCAACTTGAGATACATGCAGATATTTAGTTAAATAAATTTACAGTTTTATAAAGGATTATAAAGGAAATCAGTTTTATACAGAACTGATTTGAATGATTAATTAATTAACAGTCAACAGTGGCTGCACTGGTTGATGCTAACTCAACTATTTAAATTGTGCTAAATGTGTATTAAAAGTTAACTTTCAAGCATATCTGAATCATCTAAATGTGAATAATAACAAGTTTAATTTCCTTCTGCTAATTCAGTTTGAGAATATGGGTGGAGTTGGTAGCTCTAGCTTCAATTGCCTTTAACCCCCTTTTAATCAGAGATCAGTTTACTCAGGCTATCTCTTTAAACACAATGGAACTTACCTTTGCCTTTGGTGAAAGATAACTAAATAATGTAATGTGACAAATGTTTTAATGCACATTTATAAGATTTCTATTCATTTAAAAAAAATAATAATAATAACTCAACTATTTAAATTGTGCTAAATGTGTATTAAAAGTTAACTTTCAAGCATATCTGAATCATCTAAATGTGAATAATAACAAGTTTAATTTCCTTCTGCTAATTCAGTTTGAGAATATGGGTGGAGTTGGTAGCTCTAGCTTCAATTGCCTTTAACACACTTTTAATCAGAGATCAGTTTACTCAGGCTATCTCTTTAAACACAGTGGAACTTACCTTTGCCTTTGGTGAAAGATAACTTAAATAATGTAATGTGACAAATGTTTTAATGCACATTTATAAGATTTCTATTCATTTAAAAAAAAAAATAATTAATAGAAAAATAACAGGACATTTTTACTCCAAATGTAAGAAAATGTATTCTTTCAGCAAATGTGGGCACTATAACGCAAAAAATCATCCATGACATGACATTTGATTACAGAGATGCGGAGACAAAGGTGGCAAAGACAGCAGGGCACTCGTGAAGGAGTAACTTACTTTCATATTTTTTAAGACCATGAATTTAAAGAGTGGAAAAATTGTAATTATAAGGAATGAGTAGACGAACATTTTGACTAGTCTGTTATCTGTTTTCTATCCTCTCAACATATTCCATATAGGATGATTTCAGGTTGATTGAGGCACATTTTCCCAGGCATCTCAATGGCAAAATGTGTACCAATCAACCTGAATAATTCACCATACCATATATACAATAACTGAAAGAGTTTCTTGAATCGTGACAAATATGCATACCTCTTGTAGGAGTAAATCTCCTCTGGATCAGAGATACCATATTCCCTAAGTTTCAGAATCATCTGAGCACTTTTACGCACTGCTGCATCATATCTCTCACTGCGGGATAGGAAGTTCAGGTCTTCATGCTGAAAGTCTGGATCACTAATGACCAGAGACTCTAGGAAAGAAAAATAAAGCAATATAGGTTATACGTGACAAACTGTACACTGTATATAGGTTATTTTTTCCATTGGGTATTGAGAAATTCAAGAGGCTATATGTGCCAAATGTATGACACACAATAAAAAAAGAGAAAGAGAAAATAATGATAATGAAATGGAGGTCCCTGCAGAAACAAATTTGAAAATGTATTGTTGGGGAAAAGACAATAAATTATTTCGAGACATTATTATGTTTCTTCCTTTATAAGGAATTATTTTTAAGAGGTATTTATGTTAAGTTGTATAGTTAAGACAAATTTTCGATTTAAGTGTTGTATACGAAACAGGATAATGGACAAGACCTGACTGTAGATTCAAGCTCAGTGCAGGAGAACAATCTAGTTCATGAGTCAACCCAGCCACAGAAGGCACATAAAAACTAAAACATTCCATTACAATAGCTACTAAAGCTTTTTATTGTAAGAAAAATAATATATTATTATTAAAAAATAATTCAATAAATAAGGGCAGATAGAAGATAAATCTGATCACAGCTGACCTATTTCTCTCCTCCTCCGAGTCTTTTCTACACCACCGTCCAGGATATTCGTAAGGATCTCCACGTTAAATGATGCATTTTCACGTTCACGGCTAATATCTGGATTCATTACCTTACTGTTCCGTTGGACTTTCTTAAGGACGACGTGCCTTCTGTTTTCTGTACTTTTATTGGTGTTGTGTAACGTTTCAACTATGGCCTAGTGGAGTTTGTTACTTCCTAGAAGGCGGGCAATTTCTACGTCAGTTGTGTGTTGGCCAATAGAGCTCTGATAACTCACCGGGCGTGACCCTCTCTAAACGCTCGACCGCTACCATAGATATCATATAAAGACTAGATGCCCTATTGGCTGCTGGGCACTGAGAAATGCGGCCGCCATCTTAAACCGGTCGTATTCCTATATTGTGTTGCATTGCAGCAGTAGATGCCAGAGCACTGTATCGCTCGCTCGGGAATTACTTTTCACAAGTAAGATTTAACATTACCTGACTAAAGTTTGTATTTCGTGAATAAAATATCCCATGTGTCCTGTATCATAGCTGCATGTATGACCTTTGCTGCAAAAAAACGTGCGTGAAAATCAGTTCTGTATTCAGTGAGATATGATTCATTAAAGGTCCCCACATGTTTTTTTTTTTATTATTCTATAATGTTTCCTGGGTTGCCCTTATAATGTTAGCATGTTTTTTTAGATCAAAAATAGTCATCATTTAGAAATAAAAGGCATTTTTCCTAGCCTGATTTTCCTGCTAAGCACCCTCAAACAAAAGTGAAAGCACCCTCAGATTAAATTTTTATTAGTGTTATGTTTTCCACTGAAATAACATACATTAAACACTTAGGGTAAAGCACGTGTAAAGATCACAGCCAACATTCAGGGATACGTTTCTTCTTCTGAGTTTTTATTATAGAGGAACACAACTAATAATTATAAGTGGCAGTGCCACCAACAGGCACAATGGGGAATATCAGTATTACATACATAACATTTCCTCCCCTCTTAAACAAGAACAAATAAAACATTACATTCTCAGTTAAACAAAAATTATACATTTATTTTATTTTTCTACTTTCCTAGAGGTAGAGGATAGACTGCCTCTTGCCTCGAGCCAGTTCGGGGATTATTCTGCCCCATGTCAGAACAGGCTCACTAATATAACTAAATTGCAATTCAATCCAGCAGAGGTATCACGTGGCTCTATAAGGTCAGACGGTTGGGCGGTTTAATAACTCTGGCTGGGTAACGTCTGACCTGTTCTAATGTAATGCTGAGTTTTCCATAGTCCGCCCGAGACTCCACAGATGCGTCCTTGCTAAGATCCCCTGTGGGTGATGCCGAAGAAGCATCATCTGCAGAGGTCCGTACAGGAACACACACATCACTGATCTCAGGTGGTTGTGTCACCTGAGTTCCAGCTGTTGGCTTCGCAATGGACAAGAGTTGATCAGTATGGCGTCGCCAATCCTCAGAAGCTCCAACATCAACAGTATACGATACTGGACCACTTTGAGCCGTCAACAAAAACAACAAGGCAGGAGACTCTCTTGTCGTTGGATGTGGTGTGTTGCGGTACGTCAGCAAGAATGTTTCCAGCCGTCTCTGAAGAGTAAAAGAGCCCTTAGACGTCTTCAGTGCTTGTTTTAGTGACAGGACAAACCTTTCAGCCTGCCCATTGGTTGCTGGATGATATGGGGCGGAACGGATATGTTTCACGTGGTTGGCCTTCAGGAAGGTTGCGAACTCTTGAGAAACAAATTGTGGTCCATTATCACTCAACAGGACTTCAGGCAGTCCATAATGGCTGAAGAGATTTCGCAAAACTTCAATTGTTCTTTCTGCAGTTGTAGATGCCATCAATTGTACCTCAGGCCACTTCGAATGAGCGTCAACCACAACTAGGTACATGTGACCTTCACATGGCCCAGCAAAATCTACATGTATGCGCTCCCATGGTTTGCTTGGCCACTCCCATGGGTGGAGGGGTGCCTGGGATGGCATTTTCTGTATTTGTTGACATGACTGACACATCTTTACACACAGTTCAATGTCAGCATCAATACCAGGCCACCACGCATAACTGCGAGCAATGGCTTTCATTCGGACAATTCCTGGATGACCAGTGTGCAATTCCTCCAAAACTCTTTTCCGCAGCTTGAGGGGAACAACAACTCTCATGCCTCGCATTAAGCACCCGTGTTGGACGGACAGCTCGCTGTGTCTGGATATGAAAGGAGAGATTTCGTTATTACCAGTCAGGTTGACAGCTGGAGTCCCTTTTATGACCATTTCGACGACTGTAGACAAGGCTGGATCACTCATAATCTCACGTCGGATATCAGTGGCACTGACAGGGAGTTTCTCCATCTGTCCGAGGTAAAACAGCTCTACGGCATCCTTTTTCTCACTGTGTAACGGCAGACGGGAAAGGCCATCAGCATTTGCATGAAGCTCAGCTCTCTTGTACTCAATTGAATAGTTGTGGGCAGACAAAAGTAATGCCCACCTTTGCATCCGCGCTGCAGCCATAGACGGAATCCCTTTTTGCGGCCCAAAGATTGTAGTAAGGGGGCGGTGGTCTGTGAAAAGTGTGAATTTCTGTCCATAGAGATACTGGTGGAATTTTCTGACCCCAAACACTATGGCCAGAGCCTCACGCTCAATCTGTGCGTAATTCTGTTCTGCCTTGCTTAGTGTGCGCGATGCAAAGGCTATTGGCTTTTCTTCACCACCGGGTAACATGTGGGAAATGACGGCACCAATGCCATAGGGTGATGCATCGCATGCAAGCCGAATGGCATTTTGAGGATCATAGTGTGTCAAGACATTTTGTGACACCAGTTGTTCTTTTGCCTTTTTGAATGCAGCATCGCACTCTGCAGACCACTGCCAACGTTTCCCTTTACACAGCAAGGCGTTCAGAGGATTCGCTATGTTTGCCAGATTGGGTATGAATCTCCCGTAATAGTTTAACAGGCCGAGAAATGATCTCAGCTGTGTGGTGTTAGATGGAATTGGCGCATATGACAATTGCACTTACTTTCTGAGGTGACTTGTGCAAACCTTCCGCATCAATTATGTGACCAAGGTATTCCAGTGAGTCCTTGAAGAAGTCACATTTCTCTTTTTCAGCATGCAAGCCGAACTGCTCCAGTCGTCCAAGGACTGCATCCAGGTTTTCCAGGTGTTCAGCTTCAGTCCGCCCGGTAACCAGAATGTCATCCAGGTAACAATGGACATTAGGCAGACCTTGTAATACTTGATCCATAGCTCTCTGGAATGTGGCTGGAGCTGAAGCGATCCCGAACGGAAGGCGATTGTACTGGAATAGCCCTTTCTGTGTGGAAATTGTGAGGAACTTCCTGGACTCCTCCTCGACCCCCATTTGAAGGTAAGCATGTGACAAGTCCAATTTGCTGAAACATTGTCCTCCCGCTAATGAAGCGAACAGGTCCTCAATGCGCGGTAATGGATAGTGTTCAATGTGCAAGACAGGGTTTACAGTCACCTTAAAGTCACCACATATGCGCACATCTCCTTTTTTCTTTACGACAGGAACTATTGGAGTGGCCCATTCGCTGTACTGTACCGGTGTCAATACTCCAATTTCAGTGAGACGGTTCAGCTCCGCTTCGACTTTTGGACGAAGAGCATACGGAACGACTCTGGGCTGGCAAAACTTGGATTTGTATTCAGGTTTCAAAGTTATTTTAGCTTTGATGTTCTTCATTTCTCCCAACTGTTTAGAGAAAATAGCTACATGTTTCTGCAGCACAGCTTCTAGTGTCTTCAATTTGACTGTTTTTATTTCTTTCCAGTTCAGTTTGATCTGACGCAACCACTCTCTGCCATAGAGTGGTGGATAGTCCCCCTGCACGACATATAAAGGAAGAACAGCTGTCTGCTTGCCCATTTTAACATGCACATCAATTACACCTTCAGGACGCAAAGCTTGCCCAGTGTATGTCCGAAGAACAATGTCTGTTGAGCATAGGGGCAGGTGTTTCAATTTCCGATCATAAGTCTCTGATGAAATCAATGACACTGCTGCGCCCGTGTCCAGTTCCATTTCCAGTGGCATTCCTTCAATTTCTGGTTTCACAGTGATACTGGACTTTTCTCCTGGCTGTGACAGTTTATACAGAGCTAAATCACAGTCTGTGTCATCATCATTGGACACTGCATCAGCATCAAGACGGTGTACATTTCTTTTTTTTTATTTGTCCTTTCTGTTTAAAAGATGCTTTCATTTGCCGTGCAGCTTTTGCGATATTTCCACTCTTTGTTTTCCTGTCATCATTAACGTTACTTTTCCTGCAAACGCGACTGATATGGCCCTTTTTTCCACAAGCATTACAGTTTTTGTCTTTAAACCAACAGTCATCTTCACTGTGGTTATTCTTTCCACATCGTTTGCATTTGTTTGCAGTCTTACTCTGTGATAGAGACAGCGCATTTACCGTCAGTGATCCGCTGAGTTGGTGTGCTTCACGTGACGCCGTTTCCATGGAGACCGCTAACTCTACCGCTCTCTGAAACGTCAGCGCAGACTCCGTCAACAAGCGTTTTTGAGTAGCCTCGCTCTTCAGGCCACACACAAATCTATCGCGAAGTGCATCATCTAAATGTCCCCCAAATTCACAGTGTTCTGACAATCCTCTTAGCACTGCAACATACTGTGTCACCGACTCGTTCTCCTGATTCCGCCGGTGGAAACGAAAACGCTCCGCGATGACCAGGGGCTTCGGAGAGAAGTGCTGCTGTAGCGTGTCAGTGATGCTTTTGAAGCTTTTCTCTCCCGGTTTGTCCGGCGCGATGAGACTTCGGAGTAGACCATAAGTTTTTCCTCCGATCACGCTGAGTAACACGGGCACTTTCTTGTCGGCCTCAATACTGTTAGCTTCTATGAAGTGTTCAAATCGTTCAATGTAAGTGGTCCACGGTTCGACACTTTCATCAAAACTTTACATGTGGCCAATGGTAGCAGCCATCCTCTTCGCTAACCTAGATCACTTTACTAAACTAGGCAAGTGTTTACAAAATTGTCACTTTTTCGCACATACCAGTGTGATCAGTCTTCTTGGCTGATCCCTGGAGCGTACGATCACACCAGTGTGATTAGAACGGTCAGTGCATCACATGATCCACTGCTAAATTCAAATGTGCTTCCCCGCGTTGGCTGGCGCTGAGCCAGAGACGGGCGCACTCAGTGCTGCTGTCATAT